GAAAACTCTTACTCATTTTTCATCCCACTGTTTCAATCAAAATTACCCAGACAAAAGAATTAATTTATGAAAAATTTGAACACATAACTCTGGGATAATTATAACAACAAAAAGAACTGTAAAGAGGGGCTGTGGTTGTGGCTCAGAGGTAGAGCACTTGCCTAGTATGCGTGAGGCACTGGGTTCGATCCTAAGCACCGCACAAAAATAAAACAAAGATATTGTGTCCACCTATAACTAAAAATAAATATTAAAAAAAAGAATTGTAAAGAAATCTTGAACTTCAGAATGTAGTTATTTATGGTATCAGTCTAGTAATTTTTTGCATATTGTAGGAAACAGTGTCTGAATAAATATAACTTGCTGGGATCTAGGGTTTTATTGTGGGAGAAGACAGATTCAAATGGGGAATAAAAAAAGATGTGGAAGAACCCTGTACAGTTGGATTTGAATTGGAGGTATCAATATAAATTAAAAAAATAAAAACAAAAAAGATTCTGTTCACCGATAGAGCCAATTCATAATGAAAAGAAATAGCAATGAGCAAATCTATACCATGCTTTGGTTTTTAAATACTGCACTCTACTAAGGCAGTATTAGGACTCTTGAAAAAATTAAGATTCCAGGTCTGAAGTAGGAAAAGTACAAAGTAATCCTGGGCATCATGTTAAAAAATGTCAAGAAAGTGCTCAAGGACTAGAGTCAAGCCCAAAGGACTTAGGAGCCAGTTGCTGGTCAAATAAGAGATAATTTTAGCATCAAAAAAGCTACATTTTGGGCTGGGGCTGTAGTTCAGTGGTGGACTGCTTGCTTAGCAAATGTGAGGCACTGGGTTTGATGCTCAGCACCACATTAAAATAAAGGCCTGCTGTCCATATACAACTACAAAAAATAAAAAAAAATTAAAAAGCTAATTTTTTTTAGTAACTAAGAAATTAGGGGCTGGGGTTGTGGCTCAGGGATACAGCGCTCACCTAGCATGCCTGAGGCACTGAGTTGGATCCTCAGCACCACATAAATGCAAAACAAAGATATTGTGTCTACTTAAAACTAAAAAAATATTTTAAAAAAAGAAATTAAGATGTATGTAAAAATTTATTACACATAAGAGAATTTCAGCTAACAAATATAGAAGAAATGTTAGAATTTTTTCTTTAGTTACCCTTTTTGTATCCTCCCAGTGCAATAAATAATACAGGTGTAAAACCCTTTAGTGGATGTGAAAACCAGTGTGTGAAAAGTTGTTGGGATATTCACAGGGTCTCAAAAATATCGTCCTACAGATTATACACTAATTGTAAATTTAAAAAAATACATTTTTACAATGGATTTGGGTATTACCACTTTAAACAAATAATTAAGTTAAGCTTCACTAATAAGGGAACAGGATAAAAATTTGATGTACTATGAAGTTCATATTACATATCTCCTATGTAATATTTTTACTAAAACTGTTTATCTTTAATCTAATTATAAGGAAACAGGTAGACTTGAAAGGTAACACATTCTACAAAGCAACTTTCCGAGACTCTTATTAAAAAGTCAATGTCATGAAAAAAAACAAAGAAACATAAATATGTAAGACAGAATGCTAGATAAAGAAGACATATTGGCCACATGAACCATGACTGGATCCTGGATGACAAAAGTAAAACAAAAAATACAAAACACACTTTGGGGACAAATGGAGAAATGTAAATGCAGACTATTAGATGTTACTGAATTGCAATTAATATTCTAAGGCAAAATATTAATATTATGGTTATTAGGACAATGTTATTCTTAGTAGATATTTTTGGAGACATTTAGGACCAAAATGTCAAAATGTATGCAACTTTCAAATGGTTTAGCAAATATAGCAAGATGTTAACAACTGGTAAATACTGGATACTCATACTCTTAGCTATAGATTTGGAATTTTTTAAATAAAAGTTTTGGGGGGAATCTCAGTTCAAATGTCACTATCTTCTCTACAGCTTTTTATGCTTAATTTACTTTTTTAACTTTTAATTCTAGTAGAATTATTATTAGTTTTTTCTATCTTCAGTAATTCAGAAATCCCCACAGGACTCTTTATATACTAAATCTAGTACTTAAGAAATTTTGTTAACTGACCTTTTCCCAAAACTGTGTGGAACTGGTTTCATCTTCATTTCCAGAACTTAGTTCTTTATCTGGTACCTACTAGGTATTCTGTGTTTATTGTATGAATCCAGTAACTGGCATACCAAAGTAATAATTCAAAATTGCAATCAGGTGTTGTCCACATCACACTGGGCCTCAAATTTAATCAACCAATCAATCAATCAAGTCGGAAGTCTATTAAGTGGTCTTATACTTGACTCGTACCATTATAATGAATACTCACATTAGCATTTAAATTAAAACAGTGTAACAAGGTTCAAGTAGTCTCATTCCTAAGTCATCACAAGCATATTTTCATTTTAATTTCTTTCAGTTCAAATCAAGGAAATTAGACAAGCATACCTGCTCTATATCCTTGGAATTGGAGGTCTGGTTTTCTCCAAGAACTCCAGGCTGCTCATTTTCCCACGGTAATTTATTTTTTCCTTTTCCTGCACTTAATACCCTCCGGGTACAGACAGTTGGACTGTAAGATCCATACATTTGCATGCTATCCCTTGTGTGATCACCACAGAGACAGTGTGCACTCTGAGTTCTGTTACCAGCCAAAACCCAGTCTGTATCTGCTCCATGTGCCAAATGGTCTGACCTACCCTGAGCACAAGATGGCATGAGTATTGCATATTCCACAAATCCGTGTTCTGTTAGCCTTGGTAGGGTTTTTCTAGCCAATCTGGCCTGCACAGCATTCATCACTCCATCTCCATTATCTTGCAGTTCAATAGTATCTACAGCTTTAAAAAGGATGCTGGTTTTACCTGAGCCCATTGATGATGCCAACACAGCAAAAGCTTCTAGAGCTGCTTGGCGAACCCTGCGTTTGCTATCTACAAGAGCTGGGGCAAGATCAAAAGACAGTTTGGGTAAGTCAAAATCCTCACTGGGATAAGTCAGGAGGGAGCAGATGCAGATGTTCACCACCTCCTCTCTTACTCTGGAATGCTTATGTTTAAGATGTTCCAGGAGTAAACAAAGCACCTGTTGAGGACCTACTTCTTTCATTAGCTTGAGGAAGATTTTCATGTATTCCTGTTTGATCACCAATTTGTTGTCTGCTAGTACTTTGACAGAAGCTGCTATAACTGGTCCTAAGAACTGTTGGACTTGCTCTCCAAGACGAATAACTAGTAAATGCAGGACCTGAAGTGTGCTATGGACCACTTTGAAGTTAGAATCGTCTAACAAATTATACAACAAGCTAATGAAACCAACAAGACTAGAATGAGGGGTAGAGCTAGGGTTAAATTTTCCCAGCACCTGTTTTAGTTCTTCAACGGCCTGAGTCCGGTTCTTATAGTCTTCCTGATCCAATAATCTTGAATGCAGCTCCTGAGGAATAATCCCAAATTTAAGATTGCTATTGCAAAGAGCCACTGCACAAGGGACAGAATCCTCAGGAAATCCAGAGGCTTCAAGTTCCAAATAATAAGGAACTTGACTTCCAAACTGGGACTCCAGGCGGCGATTGTAGTGTCTCCTCAGTGCAGATGGCAGACGAGAGATATAGGATTGAAACCTCTCTTGGCCAAGTCTCTCACCAATTTGTTGAAGTGCAGAAAAAGCTACCTCTGATTCTTCTTCTATCTCCTGATCACCAAGCTTTCTGGCTAGAGATATTATTACCTCAGTGAGATCCAGGCCGAGCAACAAATCCTCAGGAGTAAGTAAGATGGGGAGCAGTAGTGCAGTAGAAGCTCTAAGTCGGCTATCGGTACTTTCCAAACCTTGATGTATTAGCGTTCTTAGCACCTGTCCAGAACTACGTTTCAGACATATGTGCAGAATCTGCAGCGCATCTTTCCGTAGAGCTGGATTCTCTTCTCGTAAGGAGACAACTAGTTGAGGCAGAAGTGCTAAACTAAAAGCTTCTTCCAGCTGGCCTGCCTCCCCCTGACCTCGGAGAACATCGGAGAGAAGTTGCAAGCAGAGTCGTTTCTCATCACTACCTCCTTCCACAAGCACTCGGCCCAGGGCCCGATACAATGCTTCCTTACGTCGGGGGAAGCCAAGTCGACCGCCCCGCCGTGGCAAAGCAGCCTGCAAAGCCTGGAAAGCCTCGGAAGGATCGGGGACGGTGCGCAAGAGCTGAAAAAGCCGAGTCTCCTCTTCATCTCCCCCTGAGAAACCACCTCCAGGCCCAGACCAACTACTTGAGACTGCCTCTGCCGGCAACAAGAGGGTTGAGGCCAGAGGTGAAGGTGTAGGGGGACAGGAGCCGTGGTCCCCGGCAGCTCCGCGGCAGTAGTAATTTTTCTCTCCTCTCATGGTGCCCCCAACTCGATTATCATCAGTCTCTGGGGCGGAAGGGCGACCGCAGCTCTGGAGGCGACAAGCATAAGCGGCTGAAAGGGGCGGCACCAGAAGCAGCGAGGATGGCGCAGCCGCCATGGAGGGTGGTCAGGTAGCGAAGGCTGGAGGGAACCATTGCCGTCTCCGAAGGGCTCGATGAAGCCCAGCCTTCCACTTCCTTCCCAAGCCCCAAACTGCAGAGGAGGAAAAGGAACACCTTGAGCCAGCTGCCAGGCCGCCTCCTACTCCGGGAGGCAGCCTTTTGGCAAAATGGCCCCCGCTAGAGTCCCAGACCCCACAGCTGCCACCGGGCGTAACCAGGAGCACCACGTGACCAAACCGATCGCTTCCATGGTGATGTACCCCGAGCGGACCTCTTGACCCGGAAATCGACCCGCCGAGATGAATGCTGGGTCATGAAGTCCACGTCAGATGTTAAGGCAGAAGTGTCCTAGAAGAGGAAGTCAGAACGTTGGAACGTAACTAGGGCGGAGAGGAGGGCAGGTGCTGTGGGGTGGCGGGGGGGGGGAAAGGGTGTTAGGCGGAAGTGACGTTGTCCTTGCTCCGGGCGGAAGTTCCCCGCCCCACCCGTGAGAGTTGAGTCTTGACCAGAGCGAGTGAGGATCTTGTCCCGGCTTCAATTGTCCACGGCTCCACCTCCTGTGGCTGCAGGTGTGATTCTTGGGACTCAGGTATTTTCCCTTTGCTGTCCTCCAGCGGCGCAGTATTTGGCAAAGTTTTGCCCAAGTGGCACAGGAGATAGAGGTAAAGGAGTGGACGGGAGCAGGCAGGGATAGGCGACATCTTCTTATGCAGGGCTCGTTACCGTTGTAAACGCGTTACTCCCTACAACCCTGAATAAGTGTGATCCTTTCCTCCTCCTATCCGTTTATTTGTACAGGAGATCCCGACCAAAGCCAAGCTCATAGACGGGGTAATTTTATTTTCCAATTCCCGGTCTTTGGGGACCTTATTCACCACGCTTTTCTCCCATGTTCCCTTTTGGTACTTCCCATAACCCTCTGGCTGGGGAAGGTCAATTGTTTTCTGTCACTTTTTCTTACCCCCATCACTTTTAAGTTCTCTTTAAAACGCGCATAATCTGGAGATAAATGTTTTCCCTATAACTAACCTCCTCCCTCTAGACGTTCTCAAAAGTCTTTTCTTCTGATGCAGTTCTTCTGTGGGACTCACCCTTTTCCCCGCCTCCTCCCTCCTCCAGCCGAACTCCCAGCAGGATCTTCAAGCGTCTCTGCAGCCTTTCAGTCTCCTAGAGACAGAGATTGCAAAGACAATTTCAGTAGCGATGGAAGTTCTTGTCATCATGGTCCTAAGAGAATTCTTCCCTGTGGATTTAGGATTGGTAGATATTTCTTTGTTTTAGGCGAACTGAGAATTTGATATGCATTTTGTCCTTGGAAATGAAACTTAAGTAGATTGAAGAGCTGGAATGTCTTGGTATGAAGCTGAATATTTCAGAGTGTGGAAGAGCGATGTTTTATTTTATTTAATTTTGTATGTGATGCTGAGGATTGAACCCAGTGCCTCACACATACTAGGCAAGTGTTCTGCCACTGAGCTTACAGCCCCAGCCCAGAGAGAGACATTTTTAAAGAAATAATACAATTACTTTTGAATAACCTAATGAAAAAACTCAGTTATAATTTGAAGTCCAAAATTTATACACTTTAAAGTATTGCTGCCTTGTTCTGTATCGGATGGAATATCCCAAATAATTTTTAAAATCCTAGAATAATTTAGCATATATGCTAAACCATGTTGTAATGTTTCTGGCTGATGCAAGTTCAGAAATTATTTCTGAATTTTGCCTTATAGCACAATTTGCATATCATAGTTTTTTTTTTCCCCCTTTGGGAGAAGGAGGCTACATAAATATGTATCCTATGTTTTGGTTTAAATTCAAAGTGGTTACTTCCTTAGTCATTTTGATGTATAAACGAATCTGCCTAGATTTCAGTTAACCAAAAGAATCTTTCTGCCCTTTTTCTTTTTTAGGCACAGAGTTAGGGCATAGTAGTGAACACCAAGATATGATTGTAGCAGTTGTCAATGAAAATGTCTGGTTTTCATGTTTCTAGTCTAAGAAACTCAAATGTATCTTTTTATTCTTGTATGCTCAGCCTTCAGGAAGCTAGTCCAAATGAAGGGAAAGGAGAATGATGTACAAGTTAGAATGTACACAGTAGAATGCCAGTTGGAATAGAAGATAATCCTTTCCACTGATAAGAATTTTCGGTTTGATAATCCAGTGCATTCTGCTATATCCAAGATTTTGGGAAGCCAGGTTAATAACTAGAGATTTTATGGTAATCATCGAATCATAGAAAAAGAAATTGGAAGCTCTTGAATGATATTTAATAATCAGTTATGGTAGAAGCTTAAGAATTATTCCTTTTTGGGGCCAGGGTTGTGGCTCATTGGCAGAGCACTTGCCTAGCCTGTGTGAGACACCTAGTTCCAGTATCACCACTGCATATAAATAAATAAAATGAAGGTTCATTGACAACTAAAAAATAAATAAATAAAATAAAAAGAATTATTTCTTCCTGCTAGGTGTGGTGGCCTATACCTGTAATCCCAGCATATTGGGAAGCTGAGGGAGGAGGATCATAGGTTCAAAGCCAGCTTTAGTAACTTAGTGAGATCCTGTCTCAACATAAAAAATTAAGAGCTTAGTTATAAAGTGCTCTTGGGTTCAATCCCCAGTACCCACTCCCCTAAAAAAGTACCCCTTCCCTCAATAAAGAATACTTTTTAGAGGTTTTGGACACTTAAATTTAAATCAAGCAGTTGTCATGTCCTGTTCTTGGGAACAAACCAAATAGTCTTTTGATTATTCTTCTTCTCAGGCCTCTGTAGATCAATATGTTACAAATTACAGTTTATTTTATATCTGTTACATTTTGTCTCCTTGATGAAGACTTGGAAGATGCATTAGTCTCTATAGTGTATATTTAGGAAGTGAGATTTCATCATCATGTCTCTTACTGATTATCTCTTATGATTATCTTGTGGAATATGAATCTTATCCATTCAAGTTATGTTCTATTTATATCTATTACAGATACAAAGGATATTTTTTTAAATCCATTTTTGTTGGTATATGATTATACATAATAGTGGGATTCATTGTGATATGTATACATGTACATAACATTACTTGATCAGTTTCATAACCCAGTACCTTCCTTTCTCTCTCCTGCTTCCTCAACCCTACTGGTCTCCCCTCTAGTTTTATGAGGTCACTTAAATTTTTTTTTTTCTTTTGAGCATGTGAGAGAACATATGACCCTTTCTTTTTTTTCGTTTTTAGAATTTGTTCTTTTTAGATAAACATGATAGTAGAATGTATTTTGACATGTTATACGTATATTGACTATAACTTATTCTAATTAAGATCCCATTCTGGGGCTGGGATTGTGGCTTAGTGGTAGAGTGCTCGCCTAGCATGGGCGGGACCCGGGTTCCACATAAAAATAGAGGCATTGTGTTGTGTCCATTTATACCTAATAATAATAATAATAATAATAATAATAGATCCTATTCTTATTGTTAAACATGAGGTGGAGTTATATTGGTCATGTACATATGACCCTTTCTGAGTCTGGCTTATTGGCTCATTATGATGCTCCAGTTTCATCTATTTTCCTGCAAATGACATAATTTCAGTCTTCTTTATGGGTGAATTACATATGTGTATATATATATATATACATTTGTATATGTGTATATATATATATATATATATTCCATTTTTTTATTCATTTGGTGATGGGTGCATAGGCTGATTCTATAACTTGGCTATTGTAAATTGAGCTTCTATGAACATGGGCATGCACGTATTGCTATAGTATGCTGACTTTAATTCCTTTGGAAAAATACTGAAGAGTGGTGTTTCTGGGTGCTATGGTTGTTCCATTCCTTGTCCGTTAGGAAATCTCCATATTGATTTCCACAGTGATTGTTCTAATTTACAATCCCACATTCTCTATAGCATTTATTATTTGTATTTTTGATGATTTCTTTCTAATTGGAGTGAGAGGAAATCTCAGTGTTGTTTTGATTTGCATTTCCCTGATTGCTAATGATGTTGATTTTTTAAAAAATCTTATTCTTGAATTATATGAGTCTTTTGTGTATTGAGTATAAAAACCTTTATTTTGAAATGTAAGTATAGATAGGGAACATATTTTGATCAAATTTCAGAGTTTATAGTGAAACATTTTAGTTGTTTTATTAATAATATATCTGGAAAAGTTGAAAGGAGGTAGTTTAAGGATCCATTGAAAATTGCAAATTTGAATTAAATATGCTAAAATTTTCAGTTTCAAAAATGATTAATGGATTACAGGAATATGTGTTACATACCTTTTTTCTTTAGCTGATTTTAAGCAAGGTAAACACAATTGCTCTAAAGCATTATTTTGAGTCAGATAATAATTTGTTGGATGAATCATTATAGTTTTTTCTGTATTCTTAAATTTTACAGACACTTAGGAATATTGGAAATCAATGTGAATTCTGTAAACTATTAAAAGTTTGTATTGTTTAAGAAGTATTGTGCAAATGAAAGATATATATTAACGAATAATTATAATGATACCATTTATTGTATTTGCTACATGCCATGCACTGTGGTAGGTACTTAACAAATATTAATTGATTTAACTATTTTTGGAGGTTGTATATTCTACATTTGTGCTGTGGAACATCTGAAGACTATATCTACTGGAAAGTGATTGTTCAGAGTAAGAAAATAAACTCAAATTAGTATATTTAATTATTTGCTTAGAATTTTGTATTATTTGATTATATACTTTAATCTATCCTTTTTGGATTTCTATTCTGAATCTTGTTTACTTTCTTGAATCAAAGTTTTAATAAAATTAAGAAATTATGGCTCTATTTTTATACCTGTAGAATGAATTACTTATTTTTATCTAGTTTATATTATGTTCCAAAGCGTTTATGCATTTCTGTCTTGAGTCAGAACTACAACTTAAAGTGAAAATTCAATTTTTATTGCATTTTAAGCACTAATCTATATAAATTAACATCATTTAACATCTGTTGCAACCATTTTCAATGGACAGGGGTTAACTATGTAACTAGGAGCTTTTGCTGAATGTAGTAACGCCTTTGGGGACTTGCTTTCTTCTATGTTATTTCTGAATCCATGATATAATGATTTCTGTTATGACAGACTTCTAATTTTACAGTTGTTTCTCCAGATATAATAAAAATCATCCTCATGGAGCTGGGTGTGGTGGTGAATGCCTGTAATCCCAGTGACTAGGGATCCTGAGGTAGGAGGATTCAAAGTTCTAGAGGGCCCCAAGCAAATTAGTGAGACCCTAAAAAACAAAATTAAAAGGGCTGGGAATGTGGCTTGGGATGCACGTCCTTGTGTTCAATTCCTGAACCAAAATAAAACAAAAAACCAATATCATGAAAAAGGAAAGATATGCCAAATTGTTCCATTGGTTCATTTCTCTGAGGGAAGTTGAACTATAGGGAAGACATTTAAGAAAAGAGAAGTTATGGTAAAATATTCTCCTAATTTTATAAATCATGTTCTTTATATAAAACATGTATGCATTTTGTTTAAGAAATCCTCATTTCTTTTCACTCTTTGCTCTAGATCTATATTTATATGATAGAAGATAATTGC